GAACTTCCCTAACAAGAGAGCTATCATAAATGAAAATTAGTCACTAAAAAAGTTCCAGAAATTTTGCCAGGGCTCTTTGAAAATGGGAGAAATCTTAATTCTTTCTGCTTAGGAATAGGAAATAGATCCCCTTACAGCTTCTAGACTTGCCATCTTAACCATATATCAGAGCCAAAGCTGGCCTTGTGGGGCCTTGAAAATTGATTAACATTAAGAGGTTGGACTGTCTTCAGAAGACTATAAAAAGCCAAAGATAGCTTTCGCAGCATGTTTTAGGTGACATTCCAGGATGGAAAACCTTAGAAGGAAATGGCTGCTTTAACAAAGGTCTTGAGGACTGCCATTTACGTCTGTGTCAAGTCATAAAACAAACAGAACCTTCTTTCAGAGCACATTCTTGCAGCCCTAAACCACCGCCCACGGGGGCCTCTGAGTTCTTTGTGCCCCAGTCACCCTAGGGAGGTAAAATCATGTCATTGTACTTGTAATTGTAGGTTCTTCCTTGTGTTGGAGAGAAGCTCAGGAGCGTTTCCAGGGTCCAAAAATATATTGTGGCAAGATGGGGATTGTGCCCAACCTCTTGCATGGCAAGATGCTATTTCCTGGGGTCCTATTTTACATTTATTTGTTTCCCTTTTGTCTGACTGGAGAATTTACAAAACAGTTGAGACTTACATACAACCTGTCCCTATGTGGTTACTTAATGGGATCTGAGATTTTTCAAGTCTACTAGGGGACTGAAGGAAGGAAAACCTTCCATGTAAAAATATAAATATATTTTTTCAAATGTTAAAGCATCGCCAGAACTCAAAACCCAACAAAAGGATCACCATACAGTGATCCCAAAAAAGATGCCAGTGATTTAACTGTACAACAAAGTCCAAGTCCTCACAGCAGATCTTGAACTAGATGGATTCAGATTTTCAACAGACGTAGTAAGTACCCACTAGGAACCAAGCATCATGTTCTTGCTAGGAATACAGTGCCCTCTGAGCCTTGCGAGAGGAAGTAGGACAGTCTGGTGTGGAAGAGACAAAGCTTGTCTATCCCAGTACCTCCAAGGCAAGGCCTCCAAGAATGTCCAGGGTCCAGTGAGAAAGACAATGGGCAGTTAGAACATGCAGCAGAGGTGAGGATCCTTTATCCCTGGGATAACTAGAGACACCTGCATGGTGACAGAGCCAAATGTAGAAGATAAGAATTTCAACAGGCAAAACCATAGGGGAGGGCCAATGAAAGGCAAAGAAAGAGAAGTCTGAGGGTAAATGAAAGAACGAAGGACATGACACCTTCTGGTCTTAAATTCTATTTACTAGGTCATCACTACTCTGAAGTTGTTCATCTGGCCAAGGAGACTCCATGAGCTAGAACATTTTTTAAATAAAAAGAAGCCTTTCCTTAGACATGGAAGCTGATGGGAGTGAAGCAGGAAGGGCAAAGGGATATCAGGAGAGAGTTGGGAGATGAAGGGGGGCCAAAGACCTTTTCTTAATTGAACAGTTGAGTGAAGAAGGGCTCCTTTGCTCGTTCGCCTTCTAGCTGCCCTCATGATCCATCCTGGTCACTAACCTTTCAGCCCAGGCTGCTTTTTAGACAGTCTCAGTAACTTGGTGGCAAAAAACAGACACTGGGGGAATTACGTCTGATACAAGCATTTCCAAACTAGACATATATTAATTACCTGTGATTCCCCATACCCCAGGCGATGTTTGCAAACAGATAAAGGATATCAAGAAGCCCTTTCAGGGTGCTGGAGAACAGAAGCTACCTGTAATCCTGGAAAATTAGTATTAGTCCCCTCAAGTTTGGCTACAAGCTAGAGAGGAAGTCATTACACCCTTGCAATTTTCTCAGACACCTGCCAAACCACTCAACAATGGACGTCCTTTCTGGTTAACCACAGGGAAGGCAGTATTGGCGGGGAGTGGGGGGTGGGAGGGCATTAACAGGACCAGATTCTGGCTCCACTTCAACCCCGAGGGAATGGTGCTCCCTCTGGGAAATCCCTGATGGCATCACTGTACCTGCTGTGTCTACCATCAGTGGGGAAAGCCTGGCCCAACCCCAAGCCACGGGTCCTCTGGCCACACCAGGTTTCCTGTAGGCAGGAGAGACCAAAGAGTGATGCTTTCTTTGTAAAGCACCTTAAAATCCTCTGATGAAAGGATCAATTACACATTCAGACTGCAGAAAATTGTGCAATTGTTAAAGAGGACGAAGGAGCTTTATCAATGCTAACAAAGGAAGATCTCCAAAATATGGCACTGGGCACAGAAAGCAAGTTACAGAGCAGACATACATGCTATGTGTCTATATAAAATACACATATATTCTTGCAAATACATGGGCAGTTTCTGGAATTATATAAAAGAAATATTCTACTTCTGGAAGTAGGAGAGTGCTTTTCTTTTATATTCTTTTATACTACTTTTATAATAAAAAATAGTTTTGAAGACCTTTTCTGAATTATATGATGAAAGAAGCCAAGAAAAACTATTATATATATAATGTCCCGATGCTAACGAAGGCTTAAAAGTATTATCTTCTTACTTTGATCTTTCTAGCCTGATACACATTTCTGTATAAATACTGTGTCTTTGCCAGACTTATTATGGTGCTGCTTCTGTTTAATGGAGTTTATTTTATTTTTTGGCTTGTTTAATGGAGCTTAAGCTCCATAGTGAAATCTAATGAAATGTGAGCATATGTATAGTACATTTATGGTGAGAGACATAAATATGTCTAAACACCAAACAAATCTATAGCTAATACACTCACACTTCATCCAAAGGTTTTTTTAGAGTTAGTTTGGCCTGTTTATCACCCTTTTGCTCTTTGGAACAGCTCTCACCTGACCTCATGGGATCATGGTGAGGTTGTCTATCATGTTGCCCCAGTTGTCCTCCTGCTAAAAAGAGGAGCTCGCAATCCTGGCTGGCCCATCAGGGTACCCCATTCTACAGCCACAACTATTTGTTCAGGGATAGACAAGTGTCTTAAGCTGGACCATCAGTATCTTCTCTAAGATTTGACATGTGGGGGCAGCCCCCATGGGTCAACGGTTTAGCACCGCCTTCAGCCCAGGGCGTGATCCTGGAGACCTGGGATCAAGTCCTGCATCAGGCTCCCTGCATGGCACCTGCTTCTCCCTCTGCCTCTGTCTCTGCCTCTCTCTCTCTCACTGTGTGTGTGTGTGTGTGTGTGTCGTGTGTCTCATGAATAAATAAATAAAACCTCAAAAAAATAAAAAAGAATCAAATGACAAATCATTAAAAAAAAAAAAAAAGATTTGACCCGTAGGTACTAAAACAGATATGTTGCCTGTCTTACTCTTGGATCTTGAGCTGTAAAGACCATAAAGGCTTGAATAAAGCCAGGCAGAGGTAAACAGAGCTGAAAATAGAGAGTGAAGGCATCACTTCAGTTCATGGATCCAGCGACATCTGAAGCCACAACGATCTCTGCTTGGACTTCACATTTATATGAATCAATAAATTCCTCCTGCGGCTTAGGCTGGATTTTCTTACTTTTCTCCCTTGCACTCTAAAGGGTCCTAGCTAATTAATATCATCATTTTCTCAGTGAAGGTTTAACAAGCCAGTCTGTGAGTGTGACTATCCGCCACATTCAAAATCCAAAATTCAAGTTTATATTCTAATATTCTGAATGTCATTGTTAGGTAGGATATCCTATTTATTCTTCAGGAAAAAGAGGTACAAGGAGTTCTGTATATGGAATTTCTCCCAAGGTCATACAATTCATCAGAAGTCAAGTCCAGAGCAAAACTAATTTCCCAGATCTTTCAAAAAAAAAAAAACACAACTTCATTCTATGTCAAAAGTAAAGGAGAAAGCTATCTGCAACATCTGCTAAGGAAAGGAGTAGGGAGATGGCTTCTGTCTGAAGATATCTTAGTCCAGGGGACCGCAGGGACCAAAATAAACCAACTTCGAATTCCTCAATTTCCCAAAAGCCGAGCTCGATCAGACTAATCTTGCTGATTTCTTGTCCTAAAAGATACTCAACAACTGATGTATGTAGAAGGTGTGCAGGATCCAAGTCAGTGTTTTTTATTCTACTTATCTTCAAATCAATTAGGTAGAGGTCTCCAAAGCTTTCATACTGTTTGCCTTAAGCACTATTTGGTAGTGTAAATGAAAGCCCTTATGAAGAGAGTTCACAACAATTTTGCTTTCTCAGGGCACCTGGGTGGCTCAGCAGTGGAACATTTGCCTTTGGCTTGGGTCATGATCCTGGAGTCCTGGGATTGAGTCCTACATCAGGCTCTCTGCATGGAGCCTGCTTCTCCCTCTGCCTATGTCTCTGCCTCCCTCTCTGTGTCTCTCATGAATAAATAAATAAAAACTTAAAAAAAAATTCTGCTTTCTCAGTGAGAAGTAAAATAAAAGCCTGATGAGGATCACAGGAAAACCCCAGTGTAAAATAAGTTAAACTCTTTGTGGCAGGAAAATGGTAAACAAGAAAGGAAATTCATAAACGAAACTTTTCAGTGCAAATGGTAGACCTAGGAGGAGAAGGCAAGAACCCTGTATACAGAGATTTCCTCTGCGGCCAGGCATGTGGCACAGCCAGGATTCCCCAGAAGTGTGCGCTGCTCAGAAATTCTGCAATCACAGCTAATAAAAGCCTATGCCACTTCATGGGGCTGAGGTGTGAGGCCTGGTCAGGGCACATAAGATCTCTGAGCCTCAATTTCTTCACCTGTAAATGAAGTGATTGTACTACATGGCCTCTGACCATGGCCTTTTTTTTTTTTTTTTACTTACTTTGGATACTTTTTTTTTTTTTTTGTATGCTCTCTCATGACATACAAATAATACTGTTTATAGTTTCTAACCCTGGGCTTCAGAGATTTTATATATTTAAAAAGGAAAATTTTTATTTTTAGTCTATAGGCAAGCTCTACCGTGTGAAAATGTTAAGGAACTGAATTGTTGACTTATTTTTTTCCATTATGTGCAAAAAGCATGAATACTTACCCCAAGATACATCAAAGGAGATCAACTGATCATGTGCAAAAAACAGGGACCAAGGAAGCTGCATCCTGAAGTGAAATTCATATTCTCCTTTCTTTGCAATGCATCGTATGTGTTCGAAATTGGCTGAAGTAGAAGAAAAACAGAGGTATGCATATTACCACTGCTGTTTACAACAGTGAAGATTAGAAACTACCTAAATATCTTACAACTTGGGTTAAACTCATTAAGTAACTTGCACAATAAAAATTAATCACCAATTAAGATCATATTTAGAAGAACATGTCCCCTTGGGGCACCTGGGTGGCTCAGTGGTTGAGCGTCTGCCTTTGGCTCAGGGTGTGATCCCAGGGTCCTGGGATTGAGTCCCACATCAGACTCCCTGTAGGGAGCCTGATTCTCCCTCTGCCTATGTTTCTGCCTCTCTCATGAATAAATAAATAAAATAAAAATATTTTTAAAAAAAGAAGAATATTTACCCTGAGAAAATTCCTATAGAATATTGCTATATTTTTAAAGTAAGTTCAAAATATAGACAGTATAAACATATCATATATATATATGTACATATATATGTATCATTGTTTATCTCTAATGGTGGAATTACAGATGACTTTTATTTCCTTCTTTATATCATTATACATTTCCAAATTTCCTAAAATGAAAATATATAATCTTTGTCAACAGGGAGGAAATGTTATTTTTTAAAAGACAAACTTTTGCTTGACTCCAAATCATATATTTTCCCCCCCGGAATAAAAGAATATTCCCTTCCTTCTATTCTAGCATAGAGTAAGCTGTTTGTGGTACCAGGAATCTCTTTGGAGAGATGGCCAAATTAAAACTTGGGAGCATCTGGTTGCAATAGTTGAGTCAAGAAGGTCTCTGAAAACCCAGCAGCTATAAAGTAAAAGACTGACAAATTTTACTCTATAAATATTAAAATTTACCAATGGTAAATACTGTAAATGAAGCCAAAGACTTAATCAATATGATAGCCAATGATCTGATTTCTTTAATATATAAAAAGCATTTGCATCCATAGGAAAAAGTCCAACATTCTGATAGGAGTGGGCAAAGGACATGAACCATCTGGTCATTAAATTCAAATAGCTTTATTCACATGAAAAAGAATAAGCCTCATTCCAAATTTAAAAGATTCGAATTAAGGGTGCCCCAGTGACTCAGGCAGCTAAGCATCTGCCTTCTACTCAGGTCATGACCTCCAGGTCCTGGGATGGAGTCCCACATGGGCCTTCCTGTTCAGCAGGAACCTGCTTCTCTCTCTCTCTCTCCCTTTCCCCCTCTCCACTACTCATATTCTCTCTCGAATAAACAAATGAAATCTTAAAAAAAAAAAAAAAAAGATGTAGGGCACCTGGGTGGGCAGTTAAGTGACTGCCTTCAGCCTGGGTTCAGTCCTGGGATCCAGCCTGCATTTGCTTCTCCCTCTCCCTCTGCGGCTCCCCCTGCTTGTGCTCTCTCACACACTCTCTCTCTCTCTTTCTCTCTCTCTGTCAAATAAACGGATAAAATCTTAAAAAAAAAAAAAAGATGCAAGCTAAAACATTGACATGGTAATCTTTCACATTGCAATATATATTTTTAAGATTTCTTTATTTATTCATGAGAGACAGAGAGAGAGAGAGAGAGAGAGAGAGGCAGAGACACAGGCAGAGAGCAGCAGGCTGCATGCAGGGAGCCGACGTGGATGTGGGACTCCATCCCGGGTCTCCAGGATCACACCCTGGGCTGAAGGCGGCACTAACTGCTGAGCCACCTGGGCTGCAAATATTTTAAAAGCTCAACATACCTATTGTTAACAAGGTGGGAGATGGGGAGTAGTCACTGAGGAGAGTATGATTTGGTTGTACCCTCAACTGGCAAGGTCTGTAAAATTAAAAACGTTGGTAGGCCTGAGTTGGTTGAGTGTCTGCCTTTGTTTGGTTCAGGTCGGGATCCTGGAGACCTGGGATCGAGTCCCGTGTCGGGCTCCTGCACGGAGCCTGCTTCTCCCTCTGCCTGTGTCTCTGCCTCTCTCTCTCTCTCTCTCTCTCTCTCTCTCTGTGTGTGTGTCTCATGAATAAATAAATAAAATATTTTAAAAAATACATTTAAAAAGGAAATATTCTTCAACAAGACAAATTCCACTTCCAGGAATTCATCCTGTAGACACAGTCGCACGCATCAGCCCACTGACACCCGCTCGCTGCAGGCCTGCTGCTCACAGCGCGACAGCCCGAGCGGCAAAGGAGCCTGGTGCCCTTCAGGGAGGCCTGGGCGCGCTGCCTAAGAAGGTTCGTAGGAAGGGAGTGTAGCCACCCGCAAGACGAATTATGATCGGGCATTGGGGGGGGGGGGGTCAGGGAGTGCAGAAGACCCAACTTTTTGTGTAAGGAGGGAGCTTTAAAGGAGATGCCCTGCAGCCCAGGTTGTGATCCTGGAGACCTGGGATCGAGTCCCACGTCGGGCTCCCTGCGCGGAGCCTGCTTCTCCCTCTGCCTGTGTCTCTGCCTCTCTCTGTGTGTCTCTCATGAATAAATAAATAATATCTTTTAAAAAAAAATAAAGGAGATACCCTGTGTCCTGGCAGGGCCACCACCGGCCCTCTGCCCCCTGCACGACCCCCGTCTGGTGCCCTCCGCAGGGGCCCGCGCGCCGGCGCTCACCTGAGCTGCGCTGGGCCTGGGGGAGCGCCCGCCCCTGGGAAGCCCGAGGGAGGCCCGCCCGCCGCCCGCCGCCCGCCGCCGCCGCTCCCGAGCGCCCCTGCCCCGCCCGGGCGCGCATCCGCGGGGCCACAGTGCGACCCAGCGGAGCGCGGGGAAACTGCGCCCGACGGCCACCCCGCGGCCGGTGCGCCGACCCCGCCGCAGACCCCCGCCCCCTGCGGCCGCGGGGCGGGTAGGGCGGGGCTGGGGGGGGGGGCGCGCGCCCTTCGCAGGTGCAGGTGCAGGTGCAGGTGCAGGGAGTCCACCTGTTTGCCAAGATAGCGTCGCCAAGCGGCACAAGCCCTTCTTAGGCTGGCACGTCACCCACACTGTCGGCGAGCATCAGCTTGCTGCGAAGTTGTGATTTCAGACCCGGGAGGGGGGGATTTAGAATTCCAGACAACTGGTGATGGATGAAGTCCGAGGAAGAAACTGTCAGTTTTCATCGGAAGGATCACTCTAGTGATCCAGTAAGGTCTCTGGAGAGGGGCACCCGGGGGCTCAGGGGTTGGGCATCTGCCTTCAGCTCTGGGCCTGATCCCGGGGTCCTGGGACGGAGCCCCACATTGGGCTCCCTGCATGGAGCCTGCTTATCCCTCTGTCTGTGTCTCTTCCTCTCTGTGTGTGTCTCTCATGAATAAATAAACAAATATTATTTAGAAAAAGAAAAACTCTTGGGCAGCCCAGGTGGCGCAGCGGTTTAGCACCGCCTTCGGCCCAGGGTGTGATCCTGGAGACCTGGGATAGAGTCCCACGTCAGGCTCCCTGCATGGAGCCTGCTTCTCCCTCTGTCTCTGTCTCTGTCTCTGTCTGTGTGTGTGTGTGTGTGTGTGTGCGTGTGTGTGTGTGTCTTTCATGAATAAATAAATAAAACCTTAAAAAAAAAAAACTCTGGATAGCTCAACCGAAATGCCACCTGCTTCCTCAAGTCAGCCTCTGCGTAAGTGAAGGTGTCCCCGTGCTCACTGTGCGATTCTCTCCGCGGTGAATCAGATCCGCACATCATCTCCCTTACTGGACCCTGCAAGCTCCGGGGTCAGAGGCCAGATCGTACTCATCTGTACTAGGAGGAGGCGAAAAGGCAGAAACCGTGGAGATGGCAGGAATCAGAAAGAAATCAGAAGAAAGAGTCTGTGTCATGACAGCAGCACGGACATGCCAATTTTATCTGTCATTTTAAGTAGTGGATGGAACACCGAATCGCCACATACTATGCAGAGCCTTGATCCCGTAGGCCAGCATTTCTCAACGGTCACCCCTTGCACATTAGTTTCGGGCCATATTCATGACCATTTAATTTGAATATCGGGTAACTCTGAATATATATACAAGGGAAAAACACCTCAAAAAACAAAGTTGAGGATTCTGGGAGGTTTTTCTAGCCAACTTGAAAATGATAAATGTTTTGGCAACAGACAAGAGAGTCAAATGTCTGTGTATAGGATTTAACTCACTTATTTAGTCACACATAAAAGTTTAAATCACACATGTAAAATAGTAAGTTGATTTTATAATATTGCTTTTTTCCCCCACTGTCCCATTTTATGAAGAAATTTTATTTAAACTAGTACTTTGGGGCAGCCGGGGTGGCTCAGCGGTTTAGTGCCTGCCTTCGGCCCAGGGCGTAATCCTGGAGATCCAGGATCAAGTCCCACGTCAGGCTCCCTTGCATGGAGCTTGCTTCTCCCTCTGCCCGTGTCTCTGCCTCTTTTTCTCTCTCTCTGTCTCTCATGAATAAATAAATTTAAAAATCTAAAAATAAAAATAAAAAAATAAACTTGTACTTTGAGTCTTGCAGTATCTCGGTCACCCCAAGAAGCATTCTTATAGTATCTAACACACTTTTATTTATGTGCAGCATCTTTTTAAACCACGTAGGGCATTATCCCTGGACATTTTTAGTCACAAGCCATAATTATATGAATTGGGGGGGAGGTTAAAGATTTTATCTATTTATTTGAGAGAGAGGGAGACAGACCATGAGCAGGGGGAAGAGGGAGGGGCAGAAGCAGGCTCCCTGCAGGGAGCCGATGCTGGGCAGCTCCATCCCAGGATCCTGGGGTCACCACCTGAGCCAAAGGCAGAGGCTTAACCAAGTGATCTACCCAATTCAGGGTTTGTTTGTTTGTTTGTTTTTTCAAATTTTTGCTAGAGCAAAGGAAAGATTTGTGATGTCATCAATATATTCATTCACTGTATTGCTTTTTAATCACTACTTATTTACATATACACCCGACACTTGCATCAGGAGGTCGTCGGGAGGAGTGTAGCCGCACAGAACAGGATCTGGCTGCTGAAGCAGGAAGGTATTTGTGACAGTACCATCTAACTTCCAGAACCACTGAAGTCGGGGGTGGCAAGAAACCAACTCCAGGCTGAACCTCCAGGAAGGATTCCAAAGCCACAGCAGGGGACTGGCCAGAGAATAAGAAGGCACAGGCCGCATGCAGCGCTGCGGCTGCACCAGCAGCATCATGCCACCTCCGCCACCATCAGGCACCTGCCAGCTGCACTGAGATGCTGCCGCTGCCTGCGCCTCGGCCACCGCCCACAAGCCAACGTGATCGCCCTGTTCTGAAATCAAGTCCCATGCAGGGGACTCTGAAAGTTGGAGCCTAAAGCGTATCCACAGATCTCACTGCAAGAGGTTCTAGGGGAAAATCCTTCTCAGGCTTCCGGTAGCAGCTGGCTCCTTAGCGTCCTAGGCTTGTGCACATATCACTCCAGTCTCTGCCTCGTCTCCGCATCGTCTCTGTTCTGTGTCTCTTTCCATCCACCTATCTCAAATTTTCCTCTCTTTTTTCTAAATATTTTTTTTAAGATCTTATTTACTTATTCATGAGAGCACAGAGAGAGAGAGGCAGAGACACAGGCAGAAGGAGAAGCAGGCTCCCTGCAGGGAGCCTGATGTAGGACTCGATCCTGGGACCCCGGGATCATGACCTGAGCCACAAGCAGATGCTCAACTGCTGAGCCACCCAGGTGTCCCTCAAATTTCCTCTCTTGCAGAGACACTTGTCATTGGATTCAGAGCCCACTTGGAGAATTCAGGGTGATCTCACCTCATGATCCATAACTTAATTACACCTGCAAAGTCTCTTTTTCCACATAAGATAACATGCATAGTTTCCAGGGATTTGATGCAGACGTAGGGGCAGGGGCGAGGAATGCACCATGCCACCCACTGCAGCAGGTGAATTTAGAAAATGCTGGATGAAACAAATTAAACCGGCTTCCTTCTGCAGGATTTTGTAAAGCCTTTCGCTTGCTAATGTGCAGTGTGAACCTCCTAGAGCAAGATGCACTATGCAATGATTCTCAAATTTGTTTGACCAAAGGGGCACCTGGGTGGCTCAGTTGGTTGACTGTCTGCCTTCAGTTCAGGTCATGATCTCAGGGTCCTGGGATCCAGCCCTGTGTTGGGTTCCCTGCTCAGCGGGGAGCCTGCTTCCTCTCCCTCTGCTGTTCTCCCTGCTTGTGCTCACTCTCTCTCTCAAATAAATAAATAACATCTTTTTTTTTATTTGTTTGACCATGAAATCCTATTCACAGATGTGATGTTCCACAGAACACACTCTAGCACAGACTTATAATTTACCTTCTGGGTAGGTCCTCAGAAAGAATTGCAGTAAGGATCAGAGAAGCCGAAAATAAGTGACTACACAGCTGAAGGTTCTGAGGATCTGGCAAGAGCAGCTCTTCTAAACTGTGACCATGCATCACCGCTAAAGATCATCACAGCCACACAGCCATAAGACGAAGTAAAATAAAGATTCATGTCCAATTATTAGACTGCCTCCTACCAGATTCTAGTTTGGTTCAGGATAAAGTACAAACTCCCAGTCCTTTTGAACCAGAGCCTCTGTCAGCCTTCTCACACCTTCCTGCCGTACATTCATCTTTACTCCAGCCAATCCCATCTCCTCGCTGAATTTCCTCCTGCCACAACTTCACTCTGAAAAATGTCTTACCCCTACATCTCACCTATTAACACAGGTTCAACGTAGGTTCATTTCAAGTAATACACTCAATGAAAGCCTCCCTGGTCACCCCAGCAGAAGGGCGCTCTCTCTCTCTCTCTCTCTCTCTCTCTCTCTGTACTTGGCCTGTACTTGTCAAGTGCCTCATTGTAGAGTTCTTTGCTTGTGGGTATTATCTTAATCACCTGGTTAGCATAACACTGATGGGGAGGGCAGCCCGGGTGGCTCATCAATTTAGTGCCACCTTCAGCCCAGGGCCTACTCCTGGAGACCTGGGATCGAGTCCTGTGTCAGGCTCCCTGCATGGAGCCTGCTTCTCCTTATGCCTGTGTCTCTACCTCTCTCTCTCTCTCTCTCTCTCTCTCTCTCTCTCTGTCTCTCGAGTAAATAAATAAAACCTTAAAAAAAAAAAACACTGATGGGCAGGATCATGATTTAGACCTCTTCCTGGGTGTTCTAGCACAGTGTCTTTCACAGAATAGATGCTCAAAAAATTTTTCTTCAGGGACTAAACAAAAAATCAAACTGAATCTTCTCAGAAACTACATGTGTAGATGTAAAAGTGCTGTCCAGATTCCCCCAGCCCACTTCATCTCCTAGATGAGAGTAAACTGGAGCCAGAAACTGGCCCATATAAAAGGGCTAGAGATTCAGTGGTGGATGGTGGACCCAAAGGCTGATGGCTCGAGAACCTGGGTTAGGCAGGGTTCTCTGTTGTCTTAATGATTTAAAACAAAGCAACGGACCAAAAAGAGCTGAAAGCAAGTACTCAGATACACGTGCATGTGTAGAGACAAGTCCATAGCAGCACTGGTCACAACAGCCAAAAGGTGGGAACACCTTCAAATGTCCATCAGTGAGTGAATGGATAAGTGAACTGTGGTACATACATATAAAGGAATACTATGCAGCCACAAAAAGGAATTAAATTGTGATATATGCTATAAAGTGGATGACCTTCAAAAAATGCTGAGTGAGGGGCACCCAGGTGGCTCAGTCCATTGAGTGTCTTGCCTTCAGCTCAGGTCATGGTCTCAGGGTCCTGGGATCAAGCCTCACATGAGGCTCCCTGCTCAGCGAGGAGGTTGCTTCTCCCTCTCCCTCTGCCCTTTCTCCCCTCTCATGCTCTCTCTTTCTCTCTCAAGTAAATAAGTAAAACCTTCTTAAAAATGCTGAGAGAAAGAAGCCAGACACAAAAGGTCACATATTGTATGATTTCATTTATATGAAACATCCAGACTATGTAAATCCATAGAGACAGAATGCAGACTGGTGGTTGCTAGGGCGAGGGGGAAAAGAAGTATAGGGTTTCCTTTTGGGGTAATGATAATGCTTTGGAACTAGACAAAGTTGATGGTTACACAACATTTTGAATGTACTAAATGTTACTGAATCGTTCACTTTGAAATGATTTTCTTATGTGAACTTCAATTTTTTAAAAAATTTGCATAGTATATAAGCAAACCTCTGGGGTACATGGGCAGAATCATAGGGCTCCCAGGAGCACTGTTTTAAAGCCCAGTTTAAAACAATCATATGTTGTTGGGGCACCTGGGTGGCTCAGTCAGTTAAACATCTACCTTCAGCTCAGGTCATGATCCCGGGGTCCTGGAATCGAGCCCCAAGTCAGGCTTTCTGCTCAGCAGAGAGTCTGCTTCTCCCTCTGCCCTTCTCTCTGTTCCTGCTCCCTCTCTCTCTCTCTCTTTCTCTCTCTCAAATGAATAAAATCTTTTTAAAATATACTATGTTGAAATAACATTTTAACAATTCTTCTTCACTAAAAGAGAAAACAATGAGTAAAACTGACCTTTCGGATGGCATAACAAGTGATGCCAAGGAAAATTTCTGTTACAGAATAATGTTAAAAATATATTACTCACGTGGGGCGCCTGGGTGGCTCACTCGGTTAAGCATGGAACTCTTGATTCTGACTCAGGTCATGGTCTCAGGGTCATGAGATTGAGCCTCAAGTTGGGTTCTGCACTCAGAGGGGAGTCTGCTTGAGATTCTCTCTCTCTCTCTAAAATAATAAATTAATCTTTTTATACGTATGTATGCAATTATATATGTATATAATTATCATAACTGTTATTTCTTTATGGTAAATGGTCACAAAAGCAAATGACTGTGTCTGGGGTTAGTCTGTGGCTATTATTTTAAGCATTAACTATTAGAAACTTGCACCTAAAAAAATAAATAAATAAATAAATAAATAAATAAATAAATAAATAAATAAATAAATAAAATGAAATAGAAAAAGCAGAGCAACAACACAGGTGAACGTGCCCTTGTGCGAAGCTGTGCCCATGAGGCCTGAATGTGGCCAGTGTAAGCCTCGGCTGTGCCCCAGGAGCACACAGCCCTCGTCTGTCTTGTTCCTCATTTATCTCCAGGGTCTCTAACAGTGGCAGGTACATGTATCTGTTCACTGAGCTTCTTAGAGAAATCTGGACTTCTAAGCCAAACCAGAAAGTAAATGAACAGCAAGATCAGAAGAGTCAGGGCCTTGTGTTCAGGACCTGGATTCTGCTGAAAGAGACTTAGGGGAGGTCTGTGTCCTACACACACTGAGGCTTTCGTGCCAGCACATCCTAGAGGCACCATTCCATCAGCTTCCCTCAGACCAATGCTAATGAGCCAGGAAACAAGAGGTCCCAGAAGAAGACACATGGAGTTAAACCTTCCTTGTGTCAGCCCTGGGCGCACACCTTCCTTGGTCACAGAAGGTTGCACCCCCGCCCATGCTCTTATCATACTCTGATGTATCAGCTACTTACACCTTCCTGGCTACCAGCTGTGGTTCCCACTACAACCACCGAATTTGGGGACTGGACTTTGGACTGGCTCCTCAGGTCACAACCATGCCTAGTTAAGGCTCACCCTTTGGATTTGGTGACCTAGGCACTGGCCTCACCCAGGCTCAAATCTGGCCACCCCAAACTCCAATCTTGGTGTTTCTCATGGATTCCCCACCTCTGTTAAGACGCACCTCAGCCCCAGGGTAGTCATGCCAAAGATACACACTTCATGCAGTCCCCACCCCCTCCACGCCAAGGAGTAAAACAGATTAATATTCAGTTTTCTCAATAAAGAAGCATAAGTTAAAAATGTGGTTGCAAGTAAAGAGTCAGAATGGACTGTGTGATCACACAGCTTGAATCCAGCTAAATGAACAGAAGACAATGATCTTTCTCCCCTGCAGATGACAATCACTCCCTGCTTTCTTCCTGTAAATCTCTCCACCCCCTCTTTGGCAGCCCTTCAATCTCTTATCCCCTGGTGTTCAGAGAGAGCTTTCTCTTTTGCGTATGTCTCTCATTGTTTTCCATTTCTCTTTCTTCTCTCTCTTTCATCCTTTTCTAACAAGTACATAAAACTGGTTAAAATAAATACTGTAGGTTGTCTTATGTACTGAATTTTTTCATTCAATTTGGAGTCCTAGGGAAAGCATTTGTCAAAATTTACAGAGATGATGTCCTATAAATTTTTCCTATAAAACTGATGTTTCCATACTCTAGCTAAACACTCTTTTTAATGTTTACCTCTTGGACTATGGTGTTTATTATGGCTTGGACTGGATCTCTCAAGAGGATATGTTGACATCCTAACCCTTGGTACCCATGAAAGTGACCTTACCTGGAAATAGGGTCTTAGCAAGTGAAATCAAGCTTTAAGGCAAGGTCACTTGGAGTAGTTTGGGTCCTCAATACAGTATGAGTTATGGCCTCATAAGAGGGAAAAGTCACAAAGACAGACACAGAGGAAAAAGACAGCTTCCCAACAATGGAGGCAGATTGGAGTGGTGCATTTAGAAGCCAAGGAGCAGCAAGGATTGTCAATAAATACCAGAAGCCAGAAGAGGCAAGGAAGCTTTCTCCACTACAGATGTCAGAAGGAGTGCACTTGCATTTGACATTTCTATCTTCCAGACAATATGAAACAATAAATTTCTCTTCTAAGCCAGCAAGGTTGTAGTACTTCGTTATAGCATTCACAGGAAACTAATACAGTTTCTCTCAAAAGCATTCAGTTGTTGTTTTGGTTTGGTTTCGTTTTCTTCAAATGCTTGGGGCTTCTTCAATTGTTCTTATTATTGACCCTGGTTATTCATTCTTAATTTATCTAATTTTAAGGTCAAGGAAGTGGATTATTTACATACCTTCGAAAGAAATGCAACTAGGGGCACCTGGGTGGCTCAGTCGGTTAAGTGTCTGCCTTCAGCTCAGGTCATGATCTCAGGGTCCTGGGATCCAGCCCTGCATTCCTGTTCAGCACTGAGTATTCTTCTCTCTCTCACACTGCCCCTTCCACTGCTTGTGCTCTCTCTCACTCTCTCCCAAATAAACAAATAAAATCTTAAAAAAGAAACATAACTAAAATCTGTTGTAAGTTGATCTTATTTTCATTTTATGTGTATGCTCAGCAGCAATGAGCATATCTAGTAGTTGGGCCACAGCTTATAAATGTCATTCCCCATAAGGATCCTTTGATAAAATCCTGACTCCAAGTCTGGAGTAGGGAAAACACAGGTGAGCCTGCAACATTTTGTTGCACCAGAAAGCAAGGCAATGCTCAAAGACTAACCAAGACATGCCAAAAGTCTGTAGGGGGCACCCTGAAAGGGCTCCTGCTACCCAAGTGTGGTGCAACTTGAGCAGCAAATAGAATAATGGAGTAATGATGATAATGGATTATAACACAATGAAATGTTCTTGAAAAATAATGTGGTCCATGATGATACTCAAGAGAAAGAAAGAAATTTTCCTTACAGAGGAATGTTAACTAATAAATATGGAAGGAGTGATACAGGATTAAAAAATGACCTCTTTGCTGGGTGCCTGGGTGGCTCATTTGGTTAAGTGGCCAACTCCTGATTTCAGCTTAGGTCATGATCTCAGGGTCATGTGATAGAGCCCCACCTCAGACTCCATGCTGGGCGTGCTGGAGTCTGCTTAAGATTTTCTCTCTCTGGGGCACCTGGCTGACCTGTTGGTTGGGCGTTGGACGCAGTTTTTGTTCAGGTTTCCATCTCTGGGTCATGGTTTTGAACCCCGAGTCAGCACCATACCTGATGAGGAGTCTGCTTGAGATTCTCTGCCTCTCCCTCGCCCACTGCCCCTCCCGCAACTCAGGCACACACGCTCACTCTCTCTCTCTGGAAAAAAAAAAAAAAGACTGCTTTGCAAACTGTGATGTAATCATCATTTCGAGCAATGACTAAAACTACAAGGAGCAGTATACTCACATGGACTCAAAGTGTCACTGCACAGAGGATTTATTTAAAAGGGGGAAATGGAGGGATACTGGGGACGTCTCACTAACTGGAAGATAACTGAGTGACCACACATTATGCGCCTATTGGTATGATGCAAAAAGAGTCACACAATTTCACATATGTAGTTTTTTTGCCTTAAATTTTCTCCAAAGAGGGCAGCCCAGGTGGCTCAGCAGTTTAGCACCGCCTTTAACCCAGGGCCTGATCCTGGAGACTTGGGATCAAGTCCCACGTCAGGCTCCCTGCATGGAGCCTACTTCTCCCTCTGCCTGTGTCTCTGCCTCTCTCTCTGTGTGTCTCTCATGAATAAATAAATAAAATCTTTTAATAAATAAATAAATAATAAATTCTCTCCAAGGAGAAAACAATCTGATTGATACAGAGTATGACACATTCTACACAACAACTGGCCTGGTCTCTTCAAAACCCCAGTGTCATGAGAAAGAGAGGTGGGCAACTATTCTTTTTTTTTTTAAGATTTTATTTATTTATTCACGAGAGACACACAGAGAGGCAGAGACACAGGGAGAAGCAAGCTCCCTGCAGGGAGCCCGATGTGGGACTCCATCCCAGGACCCCGGGATCATGACCTGAGCCAAAGGCAGATGCTCAACTACTGAGCCACTCAGGAGTCCCAGTGGGCAACTATTCTATAAAGACCAATCACATAGTAATGAAATATAATGCATGAATCATGATTGATCTCACATTGAAAAAAATACTCATAAAAAGACATTTGGGGGGAAGTTAAATACAAGCTATAAATAATAGTTATTCTTAATTTTCTTAGGTGTGATCATGGTATTATGGCTACACAGGGGAAATGTCACGATTTTCAAAAGAGGCATGCTAGAGTGTCACAACATCTACAACGTTCAAGTGTTAACAACCGGTAAATCTAGGTGAAGGAGGGGTAGGTGTAAATTACATTATCCTCCAATTTTCCTGTAGAAAAATGTAGGAGGTGGAGACTTGAATATGGTCTCAATGGTTTTCTCATTCCCTGCATGATCCTGGACCGTAAAGCATTCCCCATGTCTTGGTAAATTATCTTTTGTTTTAAATGTCTTCTACTCTGACCCTCCGGAAGCACTTGAGGTTGAATACACACCTGTTCCAAGCAAAGCATTGTTTCCACTGCCCGAAAGCGTGCAGGGCTTTCCTCCTCACAGCTGTACGTACCACTGGGAGTACTTTTCTGCTTCGGCACCTCACATGTTTGTCATTTTCGCATGGATGTGTGCAGCTTGAAGAATCTGTCACTGTCTTTGGGACTTAAAGATGAATCATTCTCCCAGTCTCTAAAGAAAGATACCATATGACTTCCTCATTGCTGTAGAGCAAGAGGGGGCCACTCCCAGAGCCCTCTGCCCAGACCACTGGTGGATTCTAGGGGTGGCTTCTGAAGTTTCTAGCAGATGCCAAATGTCTTGGGAACACCACGGGGCTGAAAACTGAGACTCCCCTTGGAAAGTCCTTCCACCTCTTAGGGTTTCAGATTCTTCATGAGTGAAAGGGAATGGTTGGAAAGAATGCGTTTAAAAGTTCCCCTGAAACTCTAACAGTTTATCATCCAAGTCCCCCCTTCCTGGAACGTATCTATTGCCACAGCCCAGGAGGCAAAGCCGAGGGTGGTGAGTCCTCCTCCTTGAGAACAGTCCTCAAATTCTTGGATGCTCTCACAGTGAAGTTGCACGCTTAGCTCTTCTCCCAGCAAACCGGAAACATTTTTTAAGACCTAGCCC